CCAGTTGAATGTCCCATGTCGGATGTGTTGGTTCTTCAGGGAGCCCGTGGGTGGGGGGGGTCTTCCCGGAAGGGTCGTACCAGGGCTCAGGGTTCCTCCAGTCGTGGTAGGACAGTGGTGCCAGTTTTGGAGCTGGCACAGTCTTCAGACCCATCTTCGTTTGGTCGGCGCGGTGATCGCTTGGTGCGGAGGTCAGGTTCACATAAGGGACATGGGCCCTTTTGCGGTTTGGCCAATTGACAGGACAATGGGAGGAAGGCTCGTGCTGTTTGCTCACGCTTGGTCCCATGATTTGTTGGCCTTTTGTGTCATTTCGTGTGGCCTGCGGTGGTGTTGGGTGGCTCTTCCTCCTTCAGGGGGTTCAGGGTTGGCGGGGTAGGCTTCTCCTACGCTCTGTTGGGTCATCTCGGAGTGGGTTTGCTTGGGTGTGGTCAAAACGACTTCGACTCTCGGGTAGGTTTCCCGCCTGTTTCCGGTTCAGAAACAGGACTGCGCAGACCTTCCAGTTCATTCTGGACTTGTCCCGTCTGAATCCGGGGGTTATTGCCCCTCCTTTCGGATGGCTACTCTGTCCCATATCCGTCTTCTTCTAGAACCGGGCGCTTGGATGGTGTCCCTGGACTAGGACACGTACTGGCATGTCCCCATTCATCTGGGTTTCAGGGACTAGCTTGGTTTTGTTCTGAAGCATCAGGATTACCGCTTTCGTTGCCTTCCATTCAGCTTGAATGTGGCACCTCGCATTTTCACATGCCTTACCTGGGTCGTGGTGGCCAGTCTGCCTCTGGCCGCATTGACTGATGCCAGGGTCTAATACATTCATATTAGTCCGTTTAGCTTCAGGGAGCCTCTGGGTCTCGCCTAGAAACTGGCGTTTCATTAACCCTCAAACCGCTAGGGGCCCAAATGGAATTCACACCCACAGGCGCAACAAAAAAATAAAATCCAAAAAATTCTTTCGTCTTATAGAAGTGTTCATTTTTGTTCCCTGATCACGGAAAAAATAACAAAAAAATCGTAGGTGGCATATTTTAGCCGCAATAGGATAGGGAAGTGTGGCAAAAAAGGGGCGTTGGCAGAGCCTTCGCCAGACGAGGTCTACTCCGACCGAGCTGTCAGACGGCAGTTGCCACAAATATATTATTACCTAATTATTTCAATGTCTCTGATTGATTTTTTCTTAGTTTTTTTGCAGTAATATTATTCCATACAGTGAATTGTGGTATATTTATATTATAAAATGTGTGAACCATCGCTGTACTCAAAATTATGGTGTGCATATTAGCGATTCAATTATTATGTTCATAAAACAATAAACAAATAGTTTTACTGTTGTTACACTATATACACACGTTATATATAAGTATTTGCATGTTTTGTACACCATAACGAACTACTAAGTTGGTCTTGTGAGTCAAAAAGCAACGAGGAGTAATCGCCAAACACCAGCGAGCCACTCACTGCCACTCCCTCCCTCAACACCACCTCACTCACCCTCATTCACCTCCCACAATACTCTTTCTGTATTTATTCACTATACACAGACGTTATATATACGTATTTACATGTTTTGTTCACCATAACTGTACATCTAAGCTTGTATGGTGAGTAAAGGCAGAAAGACGTAGCTACTCACACAGTCAGCTGATCGGCGGCCGCCCTCAAGGCCAGACGCACTAATATTTGTCCTCCAACAATATTATTTGTGGTGTTATTACGCTATATACACACATTATATATAAGTATCTACCTGTTTTATTCACCATACCTGAACAAATAAGCTGGTATGGTGCCCAAAGACCATAGTGGCCATCAGTAAACAACATGCCAAGTCGTACAGACGACGCTCCTCCCTCACCAAAATGGCGGCTCCCAACCTACTCCTCTCGCTGTTATCTCACACTATACACAAGTTATATATAAGTATCTACATTTGTGTTCACCATATCGAACCACTAAGCTGGTATGGTGAGTGCAGTCAATAAATGGTGGCCACACACCGTCAGAAAACGACGTCACAACCCTCCCTCCCACAGCATTACTCCTCCCTCCATGGAGCACAGCGCTAAATATCACCACAATCCTGCTATTATCAGAATCCTGGTCAGTTTTATCACAGTCAGGGGGCTTCAGTAATACTATCACTGCTAAATAATAGCAGTATCATTTATATTATGGTATTTGTATGCGATGCTGTGGTCACAAGCTGAACAGCGGTGCTGTGAGCTCGTGCTGCGTGCGCCAGCCTTGGTGGCTTGCTCAATACTGACGCTGTAACACCCAAGAATGTTGGCCTGGATTTTTTTTCTAGGTGGCATCTGGCAACTATCGGTCGTGGCTGTACTATAGCTGCCCCTATCCCAGGCGGGGCGATTAAATTATAGCGCTAGACACAAAATCATATATAAATGATGTGCGCGGTTTCGTTTTTTTTTTTTTTTTTTTTTTTTGAGATATATACAAGAGTTGTTACATTCTTGTACAGCCACTAGTACGCGTAGCGTTTCGGGCAGGTCCCTGGAATGCGATCCCCTGCCGCGAAGAATCGTTTTTTCATCCAAGTACACATTTTACTGTTGCGTTAAACAGAGGCTACAGTTAAGGAATTGCGCCCAGTAAATCCTCCCCGGCCAGGATACGAACCCATGACAGCGCTCGCGGAACGCCAGGCGAGTGTCTTACCACTACACCAAAGAGACTAAAATTAGTGCCCCGAGTGAGGAGTTTTGTCACCGATATCATTTATATATGATATGCGCGATTTGAGGGTTAAATTCAATGCTGATTTTAACAAAAAAAAAAAAAAAAATCTATGTGTACAGTACCTACATTATCATTAACTCTTTCCCAACCTTCATTAAAAGTACCAATGAATTCCAACAGTTAACAGCAGCACCCAACTACTTCATAAGGTCACACGTATCTCCTGAATTGTCATGTACAGTACAAACAATTACATTCTTTCTCTTTTTACAAACCACTTCTGGACAGCTTTGTCCTATACGATATCCCGTGTGCTGTTCACACTTAGTGCCGTCTTCCTTACAAAACCTTATCTACCCATAATCTTGCCAGTTACCTTTCTTAAATATTCGCTTGTCTGCACTTTCTTCACCACTCTTCCATCATCCGTTTCATCCAAGGTATAATCTCAATATGCCTTCCTGAGTCTTGCTGTTTATTGACTTTTGTGCAACTTAACCCTTAAACTGCGCATGGCGTATATATACGCCCTGAGTAACATGTCCCATGGTGCGCATGGCGTATATATACGCCATAGGGTGCCAGGCCTGATTCAAATGGCCCGCGGCTACACGGGGTTCACAGTAGCTTCCTCAGGGCTCTTGTAAACAGATGCCATTTTAAAAAAAAATCGTGGGCAATATTCTCAAGTGTGAGAGGCACAATGCTTTTGGAGCAACCAAGGCCGGCGCACGCAGCATGAGCGAACAGCATTGATGTTCAGCTTGTGACCACAGCATCGCCGAAAAATGTCAAAATAAATATATAATTGTTATTATTTAGCGATGACAATATTACAGATGACCCATGACTGTGATATAAATAACCAGGGTTGTGATAATAGCAGGATTGTTGTAATAATTAGTGCTGTGGGAGGAGTGATGCTGAGAGACGGAGGGAGACAGCATCGTTTACTGACTGTGTGGCCACCTGTTATTGTTTCCATTCACCATACCAGGTCAGTGGTTCTCTATGGTGAACACAAATGTAGAAACTTATATATAATGTGTGTATTAGTGTAATAACAGCAAAAGGATTATGCTGGGAGGAGCCATATGGGTGACGGAGGTGACGTCATCTGCATGATTTGTCTAGCTGTTTAGAGGGTGGCCACTATGCTCTTTGGGCGCACTACAAGCTTAGGTGTACAGTTACGGTGCATAAAACATGTAGATATTTATATATAATATGTGTATATAGGGTAATAACACTGCAAAAGGTATTGTTGGGGGAGAAAGTTTAGTGCGTGTGAGCTTGAAAGAGTGAGGGAGCCGCCAGCCGCCATCTGTGTATAGCGACGACTCTTAGTGCCTGAACTAACTATATCAGCTTAGCTGTACAGTTGTGGTGAACAAAATATACACATACTTATATATAATGTCTGTATATAGTGTAATAACACCACAAATGGTATTGTTGGGGAAGAAAGTTTAGTGCGTGTGTTGAGGGAGTGGCAGTGAGTGGCTGGCTGGTGTGTGGCGGTAACTCCTCGTTGCTTTTCGACTCTCAATACCAACTTAGTGGTTCGTTATGGTGACCAAAACATGCCAATACTTATATATAACCTGTGTATAGAGTGTAATAGCAGCAAAACTATTTGTTTATAGTTTTATAAACATAATAATTGAATCACTAATATGCACATCATACTTTTGAGTATAGCGATTATTAACCACTTTTATTATATAAATATATTACAATACACACTATTGAATAATATTACTGCAAAAAAACTAAGAAAAAATCAATCGGAGACATTGAAACAATTAGGTAATAATATCTTTGTGGCAAGTCCCATCTGTCAACGCGGGTGACGCTGACCGGGTCTGACGACCGCTCTGTCAACGCCCACTTTTTGCCAGACTTCCTCGGTCAATTGCGCCCAAAATATGTAACCTACGATTTTTTTTTATTTTTTCCGTGCTCAGGGGACACAAATTAACATGTTTAGAAGACGAAAAAAAAATTTTGAATTTTTTTTTTTCTTGCGCACAGGGGTGTAAATGTCCCAAGGACCCCTGAGCAGTGTAAGGGTTAATTATCTATGACATTTTCATTTAATTATCTATTCTCCTAACATCACACACACAATTCTCATATTGTCTATTTCTACTGTGCTAATTCTAATACACTGGGTTATGTATAAATTATTCCAATAGTCAATAAGTTTTTCACTTTATAATGCTATTTAGACAAATTAAATGAGTGCTATATATTTTATTAACTCTCTTTAACAAATATGATTTTCTATCAATCAGAACTGGAGAGTGACCATTGCATGGCTGAACTTCTAGAACCAGTAAATGGGATGATGTGCCACATGACTGAGAGTTGCCAGAGAATGATGACTACACCTGGAAGAGAGAAATATGCCTTAAGTCATCAAATATTGTACACTATGGTGGCAGAGATGGTAAATAATTACTTATTTGAAATATATTTGCATACATTACAAGATGTATTAAATTTTATTATGTTGTTCCTATTTATAACTAGATATATCTATAATATGTGCCAAGTTCAAAATCGACTCAATGGCAGATAATAATTCTTTTGTTAGTCTCAGGCGGTGTCAATTATGAGGTGATTAAGAAGAAACCAAATGCATTCAGGACGAAAGAATTAAGTTTGAGTTATCTTGAGCCAGTAGCTGATTCATCCTTCATATAGGCTATGTCCAAACATTGCTGGCAGATATCACCATCATAGGAGTACAGTACTTAACAATAGTTTATATCATGATATAATTGTTATGAAATATTGAAAACACTATGATATTGCTATATAGTCATGCACGTGAGGGTCATGACTGAGTATCTAGTGAATGGTGAGGTAGCCAAGGTGCCAGCAGCTGTTCTGGGAATCTTGCATGTGTGATAAGATTAAGAGGAAGAAGTTTTATAAACAAATTATATTTTAAGTTTACTCTTCAGTTTGATTATAAAAACTTGGTTAAATATTTTTAACTGAACAAAAATTTTAGTTTGTAAAAGACTGCAAAAGGTCACTTTTACTTGGTTTCTAATTGGGCTTCTGGTATTCATCTTCTGGTTTTAACTTTCTATCAAAGAAAGTTTAGATCTTTTCACTCTTTGTTTCACTTCTAACTATTTTTTAGAGTGGATGTGGAAGTCGCTTAGAACAGTGGTTGGTTAAACACAAGCGTAGTGGAAGTGTGGAACAGCTCCAAGGAGAGATGTGCTCCAACCTTTACTCTGAGGCTCTGTCACTTGCTACTGCTATGTTCACTGACAATATTCTTACATTCAGAGACCTTTTATTGGAAATGGGTGAGTGGTTCTTTTTTGTGATTTTTGCTGAAATAACAATTTGTTTAATTACCTGACAAATATTAAATTTCACCCTCATCTTAAGATCAAATTAGTATCTTTTAACAATACAAGAGTCAAAGACTTGGATAATATATGTTTCTGAAATATAATAATATAGAATGTTGGTGGATGTATCAACAGGATGGTGGAAAGGTTAGAAAAGTGCTGATAATTTCACAGAATATTTTTTAATTGTAATATCCTCAGTAGGATTACGTATGATTTTGTCCAACTTTCTGCTGCACCCAAAGGTATAGCTACCTATTATATCATACTTAGGGATTTTTCTGTGGGGAGCCACTTCGGCTCTCTGGAGCTATCGGGCTAAAATGCAATTCATTAGACCGGGGCATTAGTCACAGGAGTTCATCCAACCGGGGACCACAAGCCAGAACCTGGCTTGTGGTCCCGTTCGTGTTAGGGATGAAGGCATTCGAGCTGGTTCTTCCTGCCAAGACTTCTGGGTCCCACCAGCAGGCCCCCCACCCTTCTTTTTGGCCTTTCCCCTGGACTCTATCTTTTCTGTGGGGAGCCCCTACGGCTCCCTGGAGCTTATCGGGCTAATGTATGTTATATTAGACCGGGACATTAGCTAAGGAGTTCAGACCTACCAGGGACCAGCGCCAGAACCTGGCCCCTTCAGAGAGGTTTCAGGGAGCAATGGCCCTGGAAAACCCCATATGGTTGGGGGTTTTCCTTATCTGCCATCAACCGGGGTTAGGCACCCAGAAAGGTAGGCGTAACAAAACAAACCCCACATGGTAAGAAACTACAACAAAAACCAAACAGAGAGGTAGAAAACTCCCTACAATCCCAAGGAAACTAGCAAACATCACACTTTACTGCCGCGCCGATCGTCCGCACAGCCCTCCCCGCCCCGGGAGGGGGAGGGGGGAGCCCCGGACCTACCGCGCCGGCTGCCAAGCTCCAGTTCGTTCGCTAATGTCAACCGGGATTGACGCTTCTCTGGCCTCAGTTTCCTAGGCGGTGTTTGCCTTGTGTGGCGTTCACTGCCATGTGTTGTGGTGTGCGGTGGCCAGGAGTACTTCATCAGTGCCGGGGCTGCATGTGCTTAGTGGCTGACTTCCCTAAGCGCCCTGTGAGTACTGCCCTTGCGTAACAGGGTTATCTTCCCTGGGGCGTTCGGGAACCATTCCCGTAGAGGTTCTTGCTGCTCGGCATTTGCCTCGCCCTTGGGGCCAGCTGGGGCTTGGGGCCCTTGTTTGGCCCTGGGTAGGGATTGGTATTGTGCTGGTTAGGGCGTCAAGGTGTTGCGCAGCCTGCCACCTAAGCGGCGGCCGGTTTCTGTTGCCTCTGGAGACGGTGTACTTTTGCGGGGTTTTTCTTTTGTTTTTCATTTTTCATGCCTGGTGGGGGTCTGCCTAAGGTGGTTATAGTTCCACTGGTAGTGTTTGGTGGCCCTCTGCTAGGCCCCCGTGATTGTACACGTCTCAGGGGTTTTCAGTGCTATAATCTATCCTCTTGTTATGTTTGGGTTTCTTAACCGGTTAGCAACACCTTGCTCGGGCTTCCCGTAGTTGTTACCCTACGGGCCCTGAAAACCCCTGTCTGGGCTCGGGGGACCATTGAATGTGTCTTCCGGGTTCCAACCCGTCTTGTACGGGATAGTTGGTTGCTGTTCCCTTGTCTCCGGGTGACAGTCGCCATTTTTACCTCCGTCATGCTGCCTGTTGGGTCACTGACACCTTGACCCGGAGTCTTGCGAGAGATTCTCTGCTTGTTCTCCAGTACTCTCCTGATGTTATTACTGTTCAGAGTACAGGCGGCATCCGTGTTGCAAGCTAGGTTAGGTTGCTGCAACATGCTAGGTTTGTTTCCCACTCGAATGCCCCGTGGCCGCCCCGTTTGGTTAGGTGCTGTTCGCCCCTTTCCCTCCATGTTCCCGGCTCCGGACCGTCTGCGGGTTTCGGGGTCGGGGTGGGGTTTAGTTGCGGCAGAGACTCGGGCGGTTTTCGGGGGCTGTCCCGTTCGGGTTGGGGACGGAGGTTTGAGCCTGTGCCTCCTGCCAAGGCTTCTGGGTCTTACCATCGGCCCTTTCTTGTTGCCTTTCCCATGGACTCTTGCTTTTCTTTACGGGCGGAGGGCTTGGAGGACGGCTCTGCCCCGGGGCCTCTGTTGTTGGTTCCTGGGGCTGTGGGGGTTGCCTGCTAGCAGTTCTGGGGCGGTTTTGCCCCTGCCGGGGTTTTTCTGCTGTTGGGCGACGTTTTTCGCCCATCTAGTCTGTTAGCTTCCCACATTTGCTGGCGTGTTTTTGTGTATTTAGCGTCAGTCACAGCCCCTGCTGGCGGCCATTTTCGTCTGCCGGTTTCCCGGCGTGGCCACCAGGGCGGCGTTGCGGTTTGTTTACATGCGTCTGGGTGTGCGAGCGAGCGTCTCTGGTGAGTTTTCAAACATTTTTCATGGTTTTGTTCTCCTGTTGTCGTTTCTTTGTTTTTCTGGTGTTTTCTTGCCGTTGCCTGTTCCTCTGGGAACGTTTGGGTGTTGATTTTACAACGGGTTTTTCCAATTTTTCTGTTTTGGGTCTGAGCCTTTGGGTTTAGGCTCAGTGCCCCTGGCTGGTATGCTTGCTCCCACACCTTGTCCCTCGATTTTCGGTCTGTTGGGACCATTTTCCCAGGGGGTTCTGCTGGGGGCTGTGCTTTGCCTTGCCTTTCAGTGGTGTTCTCCGCCGGCAAATGTGGTTGTTTGGGCTCCCCCTGGTTCGATTCTGGGTTCCTTTGAGTTCCTTGGTTTCGTTCTGGAGGTTTCTTCCTCTTGGGCCCCCTTTTTGTGGGTTCGGGGGACCTTGTTTCCTCGTGTGACCCGGTTCTGCCTTCTGGGGTTCTGGGGTCTTCCTGGCTTGCAGACTGATCTTTTTGGGTCTTGGCACATGTTGTGGTTGTGCTGGGACTTTGCGGTTTTGCTGTCGAGGTGGGCCTTTTGATGCAGTTTTGTGCCTTCTTTGCCTGACCGGCGTGGTGCTCTCTGCCCACTAGTCGGCGACTTGTATTTTTACAATATATGTCCTCACCTAGTTGTGCTTGGGGGGGTTGAGCTCTGGCTCTTTGGTCCCGCCTCTCAACCGTCTAACAGGTGTATATGTTCCTGTGCCTATTGGGCTCTATCATGTCTACATGTGACATTGTATGGGGGTCAGCCTCGTTACTTGTGTGTGGGTTCACCACATTACTTCCTAGTGCTTTCCCGTTACCATTCTGACAAAAAAAAAAAAAAAAAAAAAACTGGCTCTTTTGGGTACTCAGTTTCCACCTGTGTCCCCTAGTGCGTGTGCCCCTTGTGTTACGTAGCCTGTCCTTATCAACCCTGTCGATTCCCTTGGGTATCTTGAATGTGGTGATCAGGTCTCCCCTCACTCTTCGTCTTCCAGCGAAGTGTGGTTTAATTCCTGTAGTCTCTTCTCATGACTTGGGTAGTGTACTTTTTCTTTCGGAAGGGGTTCTGTTCACTTCTCTGTTGACTGGGCGCTGGGGGAGCAGCTTGCTCTGTTGCCTCTCGCATGGTCCCGCTGTTGGTGGGCGCTTTGGGTTGTCTTCCGGCCTCTGTTGGCGTCGGAGGACGGCTTCTCCCCCTTGGGGGGTGGGGGGGTTTAGAGCTGGCGGGGTGGGCTTCTTCCCCTGCGCTTCGTCATTTCCTCTTCGTGGGTGCGTGGGGCGTGGTCGATCCGCCCCATCCTTCTGGGGTTCCCGTTTGGTCTTTGCAGTCATGAGCTTTTCCCGTCTGCAGTTCTTCTGGACTTCTTCAGTCTGCGCCCTGGATCCTATGCCCTCCTCAGAGGACTGTTGTCTCCTGTTCGGATTCTGTTGGAGCCGGGTGCATGGATAGTGGCCCTGGACCTCCAGGTCGCTTCTAGGCTCGTTCTACTCCAGTTTTTCTGGGACTAGCATGGTTGGTGGTGGGGCTTGAGGTTTGCTGTTTTTGTTGCCTTCCCTATTTTGTAATGGGCACTTTGTATACTTTTTGCATCTTTACCGGATCTTAGTGCCCTGTCTGAGTCTGAGATTCGGTGTCTGGCCTACCTCGACGACTGGCTGGTGTGGGCTCCCAGTCAGTCCGTTTGTCTGCTCGCCAGGGGATGGTTCTTTCCAGATCGCCGGGTTTGGTTTCCTGGTGATCTGGAGGTTTTTCCATCTGTTCCGTCCCGGGTTCGGACCTGGGCCTTGTTTAAGGCTCTTGGGGCCCCTCCTTGTCTTCCCTCCAGAAGTGTTACTGCGGCTGTGGTCCCGCCTTCGGCTGTTCAGGAGGGGGTCCCGGGTTGCTCAGCGGTTGCTTGGCCGGTTGTGCGGGAGTCTGCACTTCGGCGTGCTTGTCTGCCCGCGGTGTCGGGTTTGGCTACGGCGTCTGTTGGTTCCTGTGGAGACTCCCCTTCCGCCTCTTGCATTCGTTGGGTTCCTCCGGGGATCTTGTGTTGGTGCTGCGTCACCGGCTTCCTCTTTGGGGTTTTCGGGGTTCCGTGCCTTGGCACCTCCACGAGCCTTCGCTCGATGTGTTCCCGGACGGGTCGTCTCTCGGCTGGGGCTTTGTGACCAGTGCTCACCAGGTCGGCCGAGGTTGATGGAGTCTGTCTGTCCGTCGGGCTCACAGCACGGTTCGGGTGTTCATGGCTGTCTGGTTTGCGCTTCGGAGGGTTTGGGTCACTAGGTACTCTACCATTCAGCTCTGTTTGGATTGTTCTCTGGTGGTTCTTGCCGGAACCACAGGGGTTTGGCTAACCATGAGGTTCGTGTCCGGGGTGTGTCCTGCGTCCTGGCGGACAGCTGTCTCGGTTCATTCCTCTTCGTGCGTTGGCCAGTCATCGCCGATTCGTTTTGTTTGCTCTGTCGGGCGTATGGACTCCTGGCCATGGACGTCTTCGGGTCAGCATGGTCTAGGCTTTGTCTTGGCGACAGTATGACGTTTCATACGTTTTCTCGTGTTTTGTTTCCCCTCCGGCCTGCTCA